GCTAATTAATGAGGTACGTGAAAAATACCTTTACTGTCATTAATACAGTACTCTTGAATTCCTCTAGATGACTAACTTGATCGTAGGAGCGTCCTCGGATGGCACCACACCGGTGCCCTACAAAGTGACATCATCCCTCTGTTTTGTGGAAACGTTGCTGTTTTGGGTCGTGCAAATTTTCGCTTCAACAATTTCCATTACTTTAATTTATATTATTAACTGACAAGTTCAAAAGGAATGTCCAAATTTTAATTTTTCAAATAAAAGTAATTTCGGCCAAGCTTATTTGCAGTCATGGTCCACGAGAAAAGATATATCACTTTGAAATTTACAAGGTTCAAGTAGGATGATAGGCTGGGCCATTAAAATGCTAATAGTTTTTACTTTTTATTTTTTATAATTGCATTTGGAATTTTGGAAATGGTTTGAACCTTATATATATATATATATATTTTACTCCGAAGGTAAAATGGTATGCACTTTGTGTAAAATATGGAATATTTAACTCCTAGTGAATTATTTTGGTTGAAGAACATATACACTTTTTATACAACAGACATTAATTTATAACTGAGAAACTGAGTTTACATATGGAATATATTAAAACACTTTTTTTTTAATTCTTAACTTTAAATGACAAAATTATTCATAAGACATGTTTACATTCATCTTATTTGTAAGTTATGAATACCAATGTTATTGGACATTAGTTCAAATGGTATGATTTTTACTCTCATGAAAAAAGTTGAATCATCTTAGGAACAATATGATACTATGCACGCGTTTGCTTAAATTCTAAAAATAAAAAAATTCTAATAGTATTTCATTTTAAAATTAAAAAGAAGAGTATAAATATTGCCATTACATTAACTTTTTCTAAATTATTCACGGACAACTATTATAGAATAAAATAATATGGAAAATGATAAAAACCTTTATTCGTAATTCACCAATTGTGATTGGGGTTGGAGTGTGGGGACCACTAATCAATATCAAGATGTACAGGATTAGGGACAAAACTTGTCTACTCACGGGTAAGTAGGTGATCCCTAATAATAGTTGATGTGGTCCAATTATAAATGCACAAATAATTCCTAATTATAAAATTAAGAAAGTGATAAATAAGGACAATAATTTTTTTTTTGGAATAAATTCAATCACCCTCCCGGATTTCCTTATGTATTACTTTCCAGATTTAGTAATTATAGATTATTTATACATTTGTGATTAAATCACATCAATGGTCAGTAAGAATCACCTACTCACCAGTGAGCGGGCAAGTCGTGTCCATGTTCAAGTATGTATGTTACTCCTTTTTCTTTTCTTTTTTTTCTTTTTTTTTTTTTGACAGAGGAAGTATTAGATATGTAAACAAATCGAATTTTGACCAAATCAAATTTAATTTAAATTTTTTTTAAAAAATAGAGAAGTTGGCTTAGGTGAGTAAGAATTTGGCCCTATTACCTCATTAAGTATCAGGTCTAAAATTCAACTACTCCCAGGTGCACATAATTCTTTGAAGGGGTGGTGTCGGTGAGCATGAACCTAAAAAAAAAAAAAACAAGACGCCGAAGAAGAAAAATAAAATATGTAAAAAGGAGAATAGAAAATTGATAGTTAGTTAACTTTTTATTTTAAAAATAAAAAATAAAATAAAATAAAAAAAAGGGACGAAATTGAAAGATGAAAGAAGAAGAAAAAATAATGATAAAAGTATTTTAATAATAAATATTATATATTATAGCATTAGAATATACTATATATCATATTATATGAATAAATAATAAATTATTAAATTCAATATTTAAATCGAATTATGAGATAAATCAAATCCAATTCGAGTCAAAAAAATCAGTTCATTGACACATATACCACTATACTTTGCCTTGAAAAATGGAAAATAGAATATCAAATTTTTTATGTTGGAAGATGGTCATCTGTGCCATTGGGGAGCATGGGGCGCTTTTAAATGCGCGCCATTTACATGTGCGGAGCAGTTTGCTAAATGACAAATAAGAGAGAGAGAGAGAGAGAGAGAGAGAGTGCAGGCCTCGTGAGGGGTGTGGTGTGGGATGTCTATCCTAATAATGGAGCTCCTCATTTGATGTCATGGGCAACCAATCCTTGTTGCTTTCTTTGCTTAGACTCTTTTGATTGTACCCTAAATTTGTACCTTTATTAATTTTCTATTATTAATGCTCATCTTGAATGTTCTTGATGCTTACAGCCTGTGAAGCTAGCCCACTACTTACATATAACGAATGGTCAAATCCCAAAGTGTCTGTTATATATAATTAAGAAACAGAAATGACCACAACACGACAAATTTATTTAAGATGATACATTTCTATGTTTAAAATACATAAAAAAACTTAAATGAGCGGACCACTTCATTCTTATAATTGAGATAGACGGATATTATTCTGCGGTATTATTAATGTAGACTTATTGAAGTTCCTCTCCTATCTAGTTTGATAAGGAAAAATTAAAAAAATAAAAAAATCAAGACAAGTGGCATGGCTCAAAATCTAGTATTCTAATAACTCATCTAGGATTATTGCTTCTTTACTGTTTAAAAATACTTTATTTCGAAGAAAAAAAAAATTTAGATGTATATGATAACCACTAAAAGTGCTTTTAATAGTTAACAAATTTAATTTAATAGAGCTTTTGAATGAAATTAGAAAGGTTACGTGTTCTTCTTGAAGCTTACAGGTTGTAGAGCTAGCCCACCACTTACATATAATGAATGTTAAACCCCAAAGTGGTTTGTCATAATTAAGAAACAGAAATGACCACAACGCGTTGGACAATTCCATTTAAGATGATATATTTTTACGTTTAAAATACATCGAAAACATGAATGAATGGATCACTTCATTCTTTGAATCAAGACAACCGAGTATTATTCCCCAACCTAATTAGTAGAGTAAGACCAATTTGGTTGGAAATAAATACTGTAGAAGGAAAAGAAAAGAATTTTGAAAGGAAAAAGAGAGAATATGGAATGATTTGAAGGGATGTGTTTAAAGCTTAATGGGAGGAAGTGGAAGGAAAGGGAGAAAAAGACTAACAGTTTTTAATGAAGCTTAAATGCTGTGGAGCTAGCCCACCACTTCAATATAATGAATTGTCAAACCCCAAAGTGGTTTGTTAGAATTAAGAAACAGAAATGACCACAATGCTTTGGATGTGTTTGGACAAATCCATTTAAGATGATGCATTTCTATGTTTAAAATACATCAAAAACATGAATGAATGGACCACTTCATTCTCAGAATCGAGACAGGTGGATATTAGTCCGGGGTCTAATTAGTAGAGTAAGTGTATTCTTATTGAAGTCCCTGTCCTACCTAGTTTATCACCAAAAAAAAAAAAAAAAAAAAAAAAAAAAAAAAAAAACTAGAGAGAAGTGGTATGGCTCAAAATATAGTATTCTAATAATCCGTCCAAGATTGCTTTTCTACCGCTTAAAAACACTTTATTTGAAAGAAGGAAAAAAAAACGTTTAGATGTGTTTGATATCCACTATAAACGCTTTTAATAATTAACAAATTTAGTTTAGTAGAGCTTTTGAATGAAGTTATAATTTGAAGCTTTCAAAACTATGTTATGTGTTCTTCTTGTAGCTTACAGGCTGTGAAGCTAGCTCATCACTCACATATAATGAATGTTAAACCCCAAAGTGGTTTGTTAGAATTAAGAAACAGAAATGACCCCAACACTTTGGATGTGTTTGGACAAATTCATTTAAAATGACAAATTTTTATGTTTAAAATACATCGAAAACGTGAATGAATGGACCACTTTATTTTCAAAATCGACACAAGTGGGTATTATTCCACGTTCTAATTAGTAGATTAAGCGTATCCCTATTAAAGTTCCCCCTCTTCCCTAATTTGCCAACGGAAAAAAATAATAATAATAAAAAAAAATAATCGAGACAATTGGCATGGCTCAAAAATTCAAAATGTAGTATTCGAAGCTAATAAAATTTCCTTGATCAAAAATGAGTCCTAACCGAAAAGAAACGGAGTATTATTTAATCGTGTTTGTGTGTGTGTGTATTGAAAGGTTAATATTGTATATTATTATTTAATAGCAATTCAATGCCGTCATAATAACAAAGTGAACATTTCTCAACGGAAAAAACCTTATTACTATTTTTATTTTTATTTTGTGAACATAAACAAAAATTTTAAAGACCAGTGAAACAAAAAACATAGGCCAGCATTTAAAAGCAATAAAACAATAATTGAAATGGATCAAAAGAAAAGAACAATGCTTCGGTCCAATTTCTGTTCGATGAACTTCATCCAACCTATTGATATAGTTCAATAGATTTAAAACAAGTGTCCAAAAGCAAAAGTTAGATTTAAAACACATGTCCAAAAGCAAAAGTTAAGTAATACCTAATTTAATTTTATATTTAATTTTAACACTTGTTGTAATTTTATTGAGCCACATTAGCAGGTTGGACCAAGCATTGTTCAAATGAAAAAGGTCAAGCAATTTCAGGTTTTTTTTACATCACAATTAATCATTTTAGGTTCATTAATATTTAGTAAAATTACAATATATATACTAAAAACATTAATACATCATTATTTCAAGCCTAAGTACTGCTGAAGTTTGGGAAGGGCTTCCTTTGACTAAAAACATTATTTTCAAAACTAAATCATTTTTATCGCTCTTTTATAGCACTTTTAAGGTTGTTTCAAATCCTTAAAGTTTTTTATCACGAAACTGAAAATTTTATAGTATTGTTGTTTAACATCATGGTCACAATATTGCATAGTTTACATGTTTTAGGCACATTATTAAACTTATTTAGCTACCATTTAGACTGGTCACATCAACAAGTCGTGGCCATTAGGTTCCTAAGGCACCGCCCTAGGATGGTTCCAAGTCATAATTTTGTCTGAAAACTTTCAATCCATAAAAATGCATATTTTTCAAAAATTTTGGAATTGTTGTAATTTTTTTTTTTTTTTTTTAAATTCATACTCATTCATTTTGATGTAAACTAAAGCTAGGTTTGTTCTCAAGAAATCATAAACTACTTTGAATTCACAAAGTAACAACTTTGAATCCGCAAAGTAAGAGATAAATTCAAAGAAAAACTAATATCGTATTGAATAATTGAATGAATAATTCTGCTCTCTACATTAAAAACCCTAATTCATAAAGAAACTAAATGAAACACGAAACTTTATAACATAAGGAAACCTTATAATCTCGGAAGGACACTAATACTTGAAAATAAGTTTAAAAATAAAATTTTTCTAAAAATTCTGAAAATAGAGAAAGAAACTCAATCAAATAAAACTATTAGATATAAAATTTGAGGGCAATCCGAGTTCGTTTAGATAACGAACAAAAATTCCGAAATATTCAAGAGACTTCCTATAGGGTAGGAAAACCCGTTTTGAGGCTCTAAACGATGATATTTCACCAAAAAACGTCGTACATCACAACGTAACAGTAAGTCTTGTCATACATCACAACATAGCAATGAGTCTTGTTCGCTGGGCCGTTTCAAAAAAAAAAAAAAAAAAAAAAAAAAAAAAAAAACTCTCATATTGGGTAAAATACAGACATTTTGGGATCAAGCCCATTTGGCAACCTGGCGATACAAACGGCCGTAAAGGTTTGGCAATGAGTTCTACATCACATTTTTACAAACATGTCTAAAACTCATTTTTCAAAACAAACCCTGTTGAAATCAAGATATAGGTCAAAACATATCATTTCCAAAACAGACTACTTTCCTCTCTGATACCTGGGGTTTGCCTCTGCTTTGTGACGGGGGATGGCATAAACTCGTCCCTTGTTGGAAGGTTAGAGCTCATCAAGTCGGTGCTCTATTCCACTTCATATTATTGGTTTTCAGTTTCTAAGTTTCTAAGTTGCCTAGAAAATAAATAATAAATAAACCTGTCCTGCTGGATGCTTACATCTATGTACATTTTTTTCCGTTTTTATAAAAAAAATAAAAAATAAAAAAATTCACTTGCCCAGGAAAAAAAAAAAACCTGTGTCCTGCTGAATGTTTATGATCAAGTGGAAGAACTGCACCAGAACTCCAAGGATAGAGATGTTTTGTGTTTTTCAAAATTGAGATATTTGATTCTGATCCTTCTCTACATACAACAAATTACTAAAAACCTTACCGGAGCACGAAAAGCCTAGTCTAGAGAACAAGAAAAAGGATTCTGAGAGCATTCAAATTTACAATTGTTCAATTTTTGTGCTCTGAGTTTGGCTTTCTTTAGAGATGCTATCCACATACTGCTTCACACAAGTTTGATTGGTCTCAAATATGAATGGCATTCCCCTAATCTGCAAAATTTCACATTTGCAGCAAATAAGAAAGAGTAGCACATGTATTATTGGAAAAAATTTATAAGAATATAACATCTATCGAAAATGTTAGTTCTCAAGAAAGTCTGAATAAGTGCAAATCTTTCGTTCATTATGAACCATCTACAATGCATAGAAACTTCTAATAAGATGAGAATCAGTATTTATAATTTTTTGTCCATACTATAGTCATTTTTACCATAATCCTTAAACAATGGATAAGACTTCAACATGATAAACAAGCATAGGAGTTAACAAAATTAAAGTTTCTCATAGAAATTAAATCGACATGTCAATTTTTCATATGTTTTCATTGAATATGGGAAATGTCATTTTTCCCATATTATATATTTCTTTTAACATCGACGTGTCCAAATTTTTTTTCTTAAATAAAATAAAAATTATTTATTCGGGATATTTGCTCATTGCTCAACAGTTCTTCAACATGCTACGGCAAATAATCTTTAAACAATGGATAAGACTTCTTAACATGAGAAACAAAATAAATTTAAAGTGCATGCATAAGAGTAGGAGGGGGATTCAGTGATTACAACAGGTCAGTCATAAAATATTTATTTATTGTATATAATATAATTCTTTATATTAAAATATATTTTATAATTGTGTCCTCAACATGTTCAGTCATGATCTTTTATGATTTGTCATGACAACATATCCATGACACAGCATGTCGTGCCACTGATTGCATCCATGTTTCACAATAATCCCATCAACTCTTAGTTTAGTCTATATGTCCAAAGCTTGTTTGTAAATGGAAACTATTATATGAACACACTGCCTTCAACCCAAATCTCCAAGCCTTAAATTAAGGTTTCTATTAACAATCATAATCATCATAATCATTAGCATGTGGAAGTATTTCCAGTTAATTGTATATTTTGAGGTTTGGAAAATATTCGTCTTTCTATAAGTTTACAAGTATCAATAACTTATTGGGATTTAAATGTTTGATTTTTTATTTGTTAAAAAGAGGGTTCATTCTATTTCAAAACAAATTTTATAGTGAAGTTTTCTGATCTTTGTAGACTTATAGACTATTTAGATAATTCAATTATTTGTTTTTTCAATGAACAAAAGACACTTTTTTGTATGTGATTTTGCTATTGTAGTGTTAGTACACGACAATAACATGAATGCATAAACAAACCACAACATAACTAAAATTTGGACAAATTCATTACAAATTGAAACTAAATCACACTTAAACCCTATTTCCTTTACACGATCTAGCTTAAAGTAGCTTGCCTGAACCAAACTATAACAAATTCCAGGATTCACATAAAAGGTCCTTAGCTAAACAGGACATGACGCATAAGTCTATTTTAGGTTCAAGGAGTGCCAAGGTAGACCGGAGGAATTGCAAGTGTGGGCATAAGTGGTGCTTGATTTCACCAACATACCCATGTCATTAGCTAATCATATCATTATTCATTTTTCGTTATAAAAATATAACCAAAAAAAAAAATCGCTAAAAAATCATGTTAGAAAATCTTAAACATTGCACTGCATATGAAATAGCAGGCGGGAAATCCCAGCATCTCATAATTACTTGTGTGGTATTAGTTAAGATAATTGAAAGTTTCAATAAAACAGAATATACTGCAAAAATGGTTTCAGTTCAAGTAATGAACGAAGGGATGTTCTCCACAGAAGTACAACATAACTCTCTTCCCCTATGGATCAAAAAATTAAAGGGTAAAATACATTGACCTCCCCTGAAATTTAGCCTAATTACACACGGTTTTGAAAAAATTTTAACCGTACTCCCTTGAACTTTGTAGCATAATAACAACACCCTTCCATCAAAATATCCGTTAGATCCATCAAAATTTTTGAACATATTAACCAAAATGCCCTTCTACCCATTGAAATGACCTTAATACCCCCTCAACACTAGTGTGGCCTTTTGATATTTAATGTATTACTATAGAATCATATTAATAAATTTTATATAAAAACCATTCTTCTTGCCTCTTGGGGATACAAAATCACTAATTAAACTATTGTATTCATTTTTTTTTTTTTTTTTTAATTTTTAAAGTTGAACAATTTATTATATAATTACATTAATTGATAAATGAAAAAAATTGCAAATAAATAAACATCCCAATAATGAAATTTATATTGGAAAAGAAAATTCTAATATTTAAAAGAAAATGGTTTTAGGATCATTATATCCAGTTCAATATTCTGTGTTCTAACACTTGGGAGTTGGGACACAAAGAAGGCGTTAGGGATTAAAATTAATAAAAGAGAGAAAAAGTGAGTAATTAAGAAAATTAAAGAGAAGAAGTGAGATGGGGGATGAGAGAAGAAAAAGAGTTGGGAGACAGAGTAGAAGCGATACGTTTAGAAAAGAGTAAAAATAGAAGAGAGTCGAAAAAGTAGGATTTAGAAAACATCTTAATAAAAACTTGGACGGGAGCCTTAGGCCATCGCCTAACTCGCCTTACCTTTGAGCCGTCCCTGGTTCTTGGTTCGTGGCATTTGTTGCAACAGATAGTTAAAGACACAGTGCGATTTGGGGAGGAACATAATGGTAGAGATATAAAACAAGTGTTTTCTTTCTTTCTTAGTGTATTTTCTTTGGTTGATGGGAGAGACAGAGAGAGAGAGGAAAGAAGTGGTGATGGTTAGGGGTGGGGGTGGCAGGGGCAGGTGGAGAGAGAAGAGGGGTTTTAAAATGAAATATATAATATGGGAAAAATGTCATTTCACATATATAAATATTTTAACTTTATATTACTATAATATGGAGGAATAATAAAAATCTAATGTTTTCCTTGGGATGCTGGCTGTTGCTACTGTTTTGGTGAGTTTGGTGCTGAAATATGCTGTTAAAACTTGATTGGGTTCTTGGGAAGCTGAGATTTTGTCTTGGGTGGTTGTTGCTATCAAATTTGAGATTAAGCCTATTTGTTAATCTTGCGTGTTGCTCTGTGACACAGTGGATCAATGAAATCAATTAATATAAATAAGAATAGCAACCTACCCTTTAAAGTTTAAACACTTTAATCCACAAGAAGAGGTTGAGAGAATCTCTCAATTTTCTGATATTGATAAAAGCAATAACTGATCCCAAAAGTATTATAATAGCGTGTATTTGTAGGCCTAAGCAAATCCTAAACTATTTAGGAAATTAAAGCAATGGAAAACTTTTCTAAAACAGACACCAAACTATTAGGAAATTAAAACAATGAAAAACTTTCCTAAAACAGAAACTAAACTATTAGGAATTAAAACGATGAAAACTTTACTAATACAAAAAATACAAACTAGAAAACACTGTTCCCGATCACTGTTCATGTATTGTTCATGCTTGTTCATTCATGTACTACATCAGGCTCCCCTTCTTTAAAAGAACTCGCCCTCGAGTTCAACACCGGTAGAAGTGCTGGCGCATGATATGCAACTAGATCTCTGACGTTAAAAGTGCTAGAAATCCCCACCCCTGGTGGCAAGTCAAAAACATAAGCATTCTCATTGATGCGCTTCAAAGTTGCACATGGCCCAATTTTCTTCATCTGCAACTTACTGTAAGTTCCTACCGGAAACCTATCTTTCCGAAGGTGCACCATAACCAAATCCCAACTTTAAATACCTCACGGCGGTGCTTGTCTATAGCAACCTTTAAAGAACAAGTTAGCTATATTCAAAGCACCATGAGTTTTCCGACAAGCAACAAAATGAGCCATTTTGGAGAACCGATCAACCACAACCATAACAGAATCAACTCCTCGCTGAGTCCGTGGAAGTCCAACCACAAAATCCATTGATAAATCCTCCCAAGGAGCTAGTAAAGGAGTATATAAACTGGTGCTTTAGGATTTGCCCTTTGGCGGTCTGAAAAATATAACATCGCTGCACAAATTTGCCCACATCATGTTTGAGCTGTGACAAGAAATAACGCTCCTCCGTCTGCTCAACAGTCTTGTCACGCCCCAAATGACCACCTAAACCACCACAGTGTACCTCTTTGATAAGATGCTCATGCAGAAAAGTCAGAGGTATACACTGGCGATTTTCATTAAAAAGAAAGTCATCATGAATCAGAAAACCTTCACAGCCCGAACTATTAGAAGAACATCAGACCCATAAATCACTGAAATCTTCGTATTCCGCATACAAATCTTTTAGATAATCAAACCCCAAAATTTCACTGCACACAACAATAAGTAGAGAAGCACGACGACTGAGCACATCTGCCACCTTATTTTGCAGACAAGACTTGTGCTCGAGTGTAAAAGTAAAAACCTGCAATTTAGCCACCTACCGAGCATGCATCCTGTTAATTGAAGCCGAACTTTTATGTATTGCAGCGCTTGATGATCAAAATGTAAGATAAACTCTCGTTGTACTAAGTAATGCTCCCAATGCCACAATGTCTGACCAACTGCATACAACTCAATCTCATAAGAAGACCACTTCTTACGTGTCATTCAAAATTTTCACTATAAAAGGCCACTGGCCTGCCCTCTTGTGATAAAACCGCACCAATACCCACATAGCTCGCGTCAGTTTCTAGTTCAAATAATTTATCAAAATCAGGTAAGGCCAATACTGGAGCTGAAGACAGTTTCTCTTTAAGTAAAGCAAAACTTTGTTCGGCCTTATCTGTCCACACAAACCGGCTCTTTTTCATGCAATCTATTAATGGGGCAGCAATACTACTAAGTTTTTGACAAAACGACGATAAAACGTGACCAGCCCATTTAAACTACGAACTTTCAGGACAGGCCCCACTCACGAATTGCTCGGACCTTTTCTAAGTCCACCTGTAAACCCTCTTGACCTTACCACATACCCCAAGAAAATCAAGCTATTTGTCATGAAGCTACACTTTTTCAAATTAACAGGCCACTCATGAATTGCTCGAACCTTTTCTAAGTCCACCCGTAAACCCTCTGAGTTTACCATATACCCCAAGAAAATCAAGCTATTTGTCATGAAGCTAACAC